GAAACAAGTTTTCCAAGTAGTCTCTCACCAAAACAGCATAGTGTGGGGACGCACCATCTTGCTGCAAACAAAAATAATTTGTGTTTGGGACTAACCGATTCAGTTCGGGTAGCAAGAAATTTTGCAGAAATTCTAAATATTAAGGACTTGTCAGGGGTTCTTCGAAAAAGTGTGATCCTATAATCAATTATCAATTATTCCCAATTTCCCAATACTGAAACTGACCATTTAGTACATAATATTCACTCTGGAAAGATAATTAAAAGGTCGTAACTTCAGAACCTGTGCAGGAACAACTCTCAAAAGGCCTGTAGAAAACAGTAAAAAAAGCATACATTGCTTATTAACAATGCTGTCGGACCGTGGGGCACACTTGGGGTCTCTCCCCCAGAGTCGGCATGGACTTAGACGGTCATCATAAGACCTATGCTAACATACGGTGCAGTTGCCACCCAACAATTGACAGCTATCCGCAAACCAGAACAAATTCAACGAACAATATGTCTCAACATAACAGATAACAAGAGCCATGAAAATCACACCAACCGGAGCCATACCTCCTAGCTCGTGAGCCAGCCTACAGATTTTATGTAGTTGACAACGTCGCCAAGAGGTGCTTCTCTTATATCGGCCGGTGTTAGCCGATACTCGCCGAACACAAATCTTCTAATAAATGAGAGCGTCGGGCAATCGTAAAGTATATGCTCGATGGTCTCATCTTCTTGTTCGCACCCTCTGCAGAGTGCGGATTCTGACAGCCCCATGATATGGAGATGCTTTCGTACTTGGCAATGACCAGTCAGAATGCCTGTGACTAGGCGCAGATTCTGTCTAGTCATAGTGAAGTATTTGTTTGCTGCAGTGTTGTCAGGATAACTTAAGAGCTCCCTGGCAACTCTGCAGTTTCTTGTTTCATTCCATCTTTCCTTGAATTTCACACGGGAATGTTCTTTGATTAGGTCTGTCACTACCGATTTTGTCAGGCCAATAGAAGGGCCAGGTCCAAAAAGTATTTGGTTGGCTGCTTTCTTGGCCAGTGAATCAGCAAGACGGTTACCTTTCGATGGGCGAGTAGTGCTTGTCTGTCATTAGGATTTTTTTAATGTTGCTTTTGAAAGAATTGAATATATGTTAATTTATGTTATATTGAATGGAGTTAAATATTACTCCAATATTGAAATAAACAATTCTTGAACAAACAAGAAGGTAATTTGAATTATTGTATTGAAACATAGAAAGATGGATACATAGCAGGAAGGAGAGTTGAACAAAAGGAGGAGTAAGAGGAGAAAGCAGAGGAAAACAGTAACAGAAGGTAGGAGAGAAGGAGGTAGATAAGTTGGAACTAGCAGAAGAAAGAAAACCGCAAGAACGTTTTTATTTAGTTATTTAGACCATATAGATCATAATTTTTATTTACTTATTGATATTTGTTTGTGAAAAGTTAGAGAAAACCCTACTGTACGGATTCTTTGAATCAGCGCCTGGCCTAAATCTATTGACATAATTATCAACCAATATTTATTTTGAAACACTATTGTGTAAGTATGACATGCATTTGATAATTTTTTTAAATATTACCCACCTTGACTGTGGCCTATTAGATATTAATTAAAATAACACCAACTGTACAATCACTTTTCGAATCGTTTTTTATTTCTATTATTTTTTGAGTTGATCTGGGGTTACTGATAATCAATTTAGGCTGTTATTTTCACTGCATAGGGGACTAGTTATAATTGCGTCAATTCGGACCCCATCTCTAGGGAATACACCTTCATCACATGCTGGCGTCCTTTGCTAATACGGCGCACAAAAGAAAAATCTTACCAACGGATCATCTAGTGGGCAAACGATATCATTCTTTTTTAACGATGCAACAGTCACATCGAGAATACATTATGCAGATTTTTTTGTTCGTATATGAAATAAAAATGTTAAAAAACGTGGCCTGGTTCGTTAAAACTGCTCAGGGTGCACCGTTAATGGACTTGATATCGGCTAAATCCTAAATCTATGCTGTGGAGAGCTACTACACTAACTTGACGGATTTGTTTTAATCGATAAACGACTAACCTCAAAATAATAATACAAGGTTGCCAGATGAAAATTGCCTCAAAATTTTAAACAAACGCTGCGAAGTATGTTTCTATCATATCCTGAACTATCATGCATCATTATCTTCCCTTACGTCACTCTATCCAATACAATTCTGACTTATCATCGACTATTGTTGCACTTTTGATTTTAGCGCCATCTAGCGAGATAAAAAAATGTTACGTATTTTATAGTGTGACACTTCATTTGAAAGCTAATTTTATTAATAATTAAATGCAAAACATAATGAATAAATAAAACATGAACTTAAATGATTGAAAAATAATGTTTTTTTATGGTATATTCAAAACTTAAATAAATATTTTTTTAATTATATCAAATAGTTTTTCAAAAATATCAATAATAATTTATAATGGTTATTTCACTCATTAATTCGCCCTTGTGTAGGTATTGATGATTTTGAAACTTTTTTCATTTTACACAGATTAAAATATATTTTTTTTAATCTTAATCATATAGAATTGTTCTTTAATATCAAATAGTTTTTAACAATACCAAATATTTTTAATAATATCAAATAAATAGTAATTATAGGCCTTAAATAGTTTACAAATAATATAAAATAGTTTTTTAATATCAAAGAGTTTTTTATTAATACTAAATAGTTTGTTAATAACATGAAATAGTTTTTTTAATAATATCAATTGGTCTTTTAAAAATATCAAATAGTTTTTAATATCAAATGGTTTTTTAACAATGTAAAATAAATAATTTTTTAATAATATCAACTGGTATTTTAATAATATCAAATAGTTTTTAAATAATATCAAATAGTATTTTAATAATATCAAATAGTATTTTAATGATATAAAATATTATTTTAACGATATCAAATCGTTTTAAGCAGTCTCTGATGGTTATTTCACTCATTACTTCACCCGTATGTGGGTATTAATAATTTTGAACCTTTTTTTAATTTTATACAAATTAAAATATAAATTCTTTAATTTGAATTATCTTGTTGGTATTTAAATCAAACGCCTTTTTGAAAAACAAGAAGTTTCTGAACGAAAAAAAAAGAGGAAGTTTCTTAATGAATTAAGAAATAGTCTCGAAATAATAATAATAATAATTTATTTACAAAAAAAAATTTATAAAAATAATGCATGTCCTCAGGTGATTTGAATACAGGTGCACTTTACGTGTTAACTTGTATTAATTGACTAAGGATGAGATTACAGAACGTCTGCAACTTTGCAGATTTGCAAATATGGCGGCAACTTTGCAGATCTGCAAATATGGCGGCAACTTTGCAGATCTGGAAATATGGTGGACTTACAGATACAAGTATCAAGTTTTCGTAATCCAAAAAATATCTTCAAATTTGCAATATATATTGTGGTTTATTACTCTCAACAACACTAAACCCAAATCCACCCTTAAGGGTGAGATTACGGAACCTCTGCAAATCGTACTTGCATCTGCAAATATCAGTTGCAGTTGCAAAAGAGAAACATAGGAGGTTAGAACATCCTACAAACTTGCAAATTGTCAATTTTTACTTTACTTTTCTTTAATAACCATGAAGTCTTCTGTTCCTTTTGATTGAATACAGTTCGTGGTGTCAGATTATCGAGTTTTTAAACATATAGTAATGGAGTTTAGTGTTGTTGGGGGTAATAAACCACAATAAATATTGCGAATTTGCAGATATTTTTTTGAATAGGTAAACTTGATACTTGCATCTGTAAGTCCGCCATATTTGCAGATCTGCAAAGTTGCCGCCATATTTGCAGATCTGCAAAGTTGCCGCCATATTTGCAGATCTGCAAAGTTGCCGCCATATTTGCAGATCTGCAAAGTTGCCGCCATATTTGCAGATCTGCAAAGTTGCCGCCATATTTGCAGATCTGCAAAGTTGCCGCCATATTTTCAGATTTGCAAAGTTGCAGACGTTCTGTAATCTCACCCTAAGCCTCTATGAATTTTGTTTGTTTGGTGTTTTTATTGATATTTTTGTTTGTTTTACGACTTAGAAAGTGATACATTTAATAAAAAATTCGTACATCACTGGCGTACGAACCAGACAGTACAATTATTGTAAAAATGTATAGTAATAATTCATTCATAAACACTATTTTATTTCACTCGCTTGAGAAAAGTGTGACAAAGACCACAGTTGACCATAATTTTTCTCGAGAGTGGTATTTTGCTTTATATGAACAAAATATCCGATAAGATATCGGACTACAATGAATATCTCCAAAATTAAATTATTTAATTTAACTTTCTTGTGGAGGGTTTATTGATTTTTTATGATTGTATATTATGTCTGTTCAATTAGGAAATTCCTTTTTTTAATTATTTTGGAAGCTAATAAATCAAAAAGAGTATTCATCATAAAATACAATTATATACAGATCACATTGGCACCATTGTGCACACTCTAGTTTAAATGTCCGAGGTTAGAGCTTTATTTTGGCTGCATGAATATAGTGTCTCATCTTGGTAATTTTGCCTTGAGGGTGGGTTATTGTATGCCTTAGGACGAGCAGTTTTAATAAAATACAATATTACATATAATATAAAAAACAATACTTAGAATAATATAAAAAGAAGTAGGTAATACGACTAGATTAAATTTAATATTAATACCGAGCTTTAAAATTAACAACTATTTTTTTTAACAAATTATTGAACTACCTAAACTATAAAATTCGTTATTTGTGGAAATAAAATGTTGCGATTCATAGTAGGAATGGAATATACCCATCTAATTTTTTAAATTTTAATTTGAATAAATTTAGGGAATTAATGTATAGTATTTCATTGTATAACTTAGGTCCCAAGTAAGCATAACTTTTTTTACCTATAGTTTTTGTGGCTTTCGATATTATGATATAAATACTATTAACAGAATAAAAATATTTACAAACACTCACCTTTTCCTCTTTTAAATCCCAGTTCGACTGAACGCCATCCGTCTTTTCATCGGTAGTTTCAATATCAACCTCGTCGTCACTTTCGTCATCCCTCTGGGACACAGCCCGCTCCACAACGGGTTGCACAGGTTTAAATGCAGACTGATAAGCCTTATCAATAGGAAAAAAAGGATTGTCTTGAGGAAACAGAATAGGATTGCGCTTCAGCCAAGGAAAAGAGGAATAAGACGTGAAAGCCAACGGTTTGTGGTAAATGAAATCCATAGCGACTCTAGATATGGGTAGGGAGATATCTTGGCAATTAGGGATTCTAGGAGCAGGAACAATAGGTTGCGGTTGAGGCTCCATTTTGTTTTGTTTAGGCGCACGAGTCATCAATGATGAAGCTAGCAATCTTTTCCGCGTTCCTCCATTAAACATGGCTTTAACGTCCTCCCAAGCGTGAATAATTTCTTCTGGAGGATTCCCAGTGAGTTTCATATGACGTCTCCAAGAGTTGAAATTAGCTGCATCAGGTTGTACGTACTTATCGCCGGCACTGAGACGGTGTGAATGGAATATAAATTTGTTTGGTGAAAAAAATAAGCCGCACACTGTACACTTGATGCATTTAGCTCTGGAGGAGTTATACCGCGAAGGGAGGAAGGAGCCTCTGCAACCCCAAGCACATTCGTGGTGGACCGCGAAAGCGAAATCTTCTGGCAGGCGCGGTGGAGCGTTGTCTCCGAGGAAGCTTTTGCAGAGGCGTTCAGCTTCTCGTCTTGTTATCATACCACATCGTCTGGAAGACACCGGCATTGCACCGGCCCGTCTTAAAATTTCTAACTGGACTGGTGTACACTGAACACAAGTTATTCCTAAAAAAAAATATTCAATATGACGGCTTTTCTTTCGTGATAACATAAAATGTAAAGTCTTTCAAACGTGAAGAGCTGAAAATTTCAGGATAGAAAATATTAAAGGTTGGGTCGTTAATAATGTATCAACTTAATGGAAAGAAACTGCAAATTCCAAAGCCAATTCTCTACTGTTGTCCTTTGAAATTTTCAACCCAATCGTAGGTAGTACTGTTACTTAAAAAAGTGTCTTAATACGTATGTTTGCATCATCGATTTGGCAACACTGATTATTATCGTAGGATTAGATATAGCTCAGAACACTGCGACCTCTTGGGTTTATTGCTTTCCCCTGCTTTCTTCGTATTTAGGTACTATGTTTGAATAGTACTATTTCTTTCGTAAGTATTTCTAGATTCCCTACCGAAAAGGGTATGTCGCTGCCTAGCTAGAGCTTCGTATTTGAAGTCAACGTACTATAAGGTTTCTTCCTCTTCTAAGATGTTTTAGCAAGCAGTGCCCCATTAGTAATCCCACAGTGGTGGATATCTGGGGCCTTACGAGCTGTAGAACTTCAGAAGTCAAGCGTGGGTTTGGTCTTCTTAGCACGGACCAATAGCAGTTCCTCATAAGTGCACATGTAGATTCCTAAATTGTAAATATGCATTCCCAAAGTATTAAACCACACGCCGCAGCTGGTATGAGCTTACTAAATATGTGATCTCTTCTCGGTTCAGTGAGTTTGGTGTTTAATGGTTATCCACCTGATCACTGCCTGTCAATCAGAGGTTTTGCTTCTCCTAAACACATGTTTAGGTCCTGCAAATGATAGTTCGGTTTCTTCTTTGATGAGTTCATTAGCCTTTTAATTTCCTTGGATATCTGTATATCCACGCTAGTTTTACCTTATTGTGGGTTGCCAAATCAATTCGGCAACACGGATATTATCTTTTAGGTTTAAATATTGTTTTGAATTGCCTTTTTGATGATGATTATAAAAAAAGCTAGTTTTATCTATTTTGCTTACCCAATGCAACACGTCGATTGTGAATTTCATTGTAGCTAAATTGTTTCAATAATGTGTTGGAAATTTGTGCCAGGCATAGTCGTTCTTGGTTTTCTATTATCAAAGAAACAATCGGCACTCCATATAAAATAACAGTCGAGACCTGAAACTTTTGCGCGTATAAATCATTTAGAAACGTATTAATCCTGTTGCACTTACTCGCTTAAATGCAACGCTACTTACCTGGTTAGGTTTCGGACTCGGTTCTTTTTTTGGTGACATACTAGGCTGCGATTCTGACATTCTAGGTTTTATGGAGTCCATTCTAAAAACATAATTTCCATGCATTACTTGATATTGTATTCATGAAGGGTAAACTGATTAATTAAGTGTAGGTTAGATATCATTTTGCATGGATTCTTTTACGTTTTGGCAAAACAAATTTTTGTTTACAATAATTTCTACAGAAATTTTCTAAAATAAAAATGTACAAGGCACAGTCAGAAAAATCCAGAAAATAAGAGCTTGTGAAAGTACGTCATCGGACAAAATTGTAATGTTTAAGTTGAAAGGAAAAGATGAATGGGACGTCTCGTAGGACACCAGCCAAGGCGCGCCGTCCATATGAGTAAATCCGTAATAATTTGGAATGTTTTTATCAATTTTCTTTGATTTGTTAGTTTTTTCATTGGTTGATAAACAAATTTATATTCGATCATTGGTTTTATAACATATTGCTTCAAATATTGTCAAGTCTATAAGTTTGTCATAAATTTAAGATGTGAAACAAGTTATTTTGGCTCCACCAATGCCTATCTGTAGAATTATAGGTTAAATATGATAGTACAGAGCGATCTGCCAATAAGTCATTTTTTGAGAGTACGCCAAAGTGATCGTCTCGTGTAATTTTGTAAATAAATTAAAAAAAAACAGAGTTGGGAGCAGTAATAAAGTACTTGCATTTGAAAGGTTTAATACCAACCGAAACCAAAGCTGACTGGATTCTGCACTATTGGAATCCGCTCCTTCGTTTTCAATGGTTTAAAACTGGGCTTCCAAATTCGAAACGAATGAGCCCAAATGGATGAACCCTGTAGTGGATGTCCAAAAACTGCTACTGTCCCAGATACGATTGAAAAAGTCCACGGTTTCATATTGGATGATTGTTTTAAATCTCAAATGACAGTGTGGACAGAATTTTAACTGAAAAATTGAAATGAAAAACTACTTGACGGAGGAGCACAAACTGAATCGTTTGAGTGTTTCTCGCAAGATTTTGGCATGTTTACGCCACAATCCATAGGATTTTTTACGCCGTTTCTTAACCGCCGATGAAACCTGGGTTCACCATTATACTCCTGAAACCAAAGAACAGTTCAAACAATGGACATACAGGTTCTCCACCACCAAAGAAGACAAAAACGGTTTTGTCAGCAGGAAAGGTTTTGGCAACTGTGTTTTGGGATTCTCGTGGAATTCTCTTGGTCGACTACTTAAAAAAGGGGAAAACCATAAATGGCGAGTATTATGCCAATTTGTTACAACAACTTAACAACAAAATCAAAGAGGGACGGTATAATTTCGTAAAAAAGGTGTTTTTCCATCAGGATAACGCACCTGCCCACAAGTCTGCGATTTTAATGCCCAAAATTCATGAATTTGGAGTTGAATTAGTGCCTTATTCACCTATTATCCAGATTTGGCTCACAGCATGAAAAAATTTTTCGACGGTAAGGAATGTTCGTCTAATTCCGAGGTATTGGATTCATCGACCTATATACAATAAAGACACTGCTAATTTGGAATATCGTTGCAATAAGTATGTACGTTAAAAATACAATGTTTTTGTCGAAAAAACTTTCACAGAAAAAAATTTGTATGTAAAATCAATGAACAGTGGTCATTAATATCATGATTCAGTGATTGTTACAATGATTTCTAATCAAAGATTAATAAATTAGTACATTGAAACAATATCATAACCAAAATTAAACAATAAACGCAAAGCATCAAACATTCATTATATTGTTCATTAACATAATGCAAAAATTCAATGACTTTTAATGTACGTTATTCATCTTTAAAACAATAAATTGTTGTCATAGATCAATGAACAGCTAACATAAAAAGCGGCCAAGTGCAAGTCGGACTCGCGCATGAAGGGTTCCTCGCCATTATACAAGATTTAATACTATGCAGGTACCATAGATATATAACCAAGTAGCAGGTACTTTATAATGATCGAGCAAAAAGAGCCAAAAAAAGACGTTTCTAAGTAGGAAGCCCCCTTTAATTTTGAATTTATTTTTATTATTTGTTGTCATAGCGGCAACAGATATACACATTCTGTAAAAAATAACAACTGGCTACCAATTACGGATCATAAGATACAGCCCGCTGAGAGACGGACGGACAGCGGTTGGTTACCTTTCGGGTACGGAATCCTAAAAACGACAGTTGCTTGCTCGTGAAGGAAAGGTGGCACTACCTAAATTGCTCTTGACTAAGCGGACTAATATTTAGCGGTAGGCCATAAGAACGGCAGCCGTGACAGATGAGAATTCAAGAATTACATAATTCTGACTACTGTTTAGTGATACAGATTTATATTGTTCCATATTCATTTTTTATTGATTTAACGTACCTACAACAATCTTAAATTAATATCTATCTTTTGTAATATTAATAACCGGCGATCATAGATCCATGCTCATCGTTCATTGATTTAAAGTATAACCGCAATAAACTAATGTATATTGGTTGATAATATTAATAACCGCAATAAACAGATATACATGCCTATTATTCACTGATTTAACGTACCCCATCATAACTTAAAGAGCAAGAACATTTACGTACGACCATTCATTCCCAACAAACAATGAATTGTCGGGATATTGCTGGCATTTTGCTGTAATTAAAGAGAAAATGAATACGACGATTAAAAGTTAAAATCATACTTCTGGCCTTTTGATTGTAGCCCAACATTATGTTGGTTGATGATGGGTAAGTAACTATTGGATAAAAGCATGATAAAAGTCAAAAGGCTTTTAACTGCCGCAGGCCCAACCCCAACAGTCCAGAAGGGCTCCGTCCCGCGTTCATAGATGGAGACACCGATGATCGCTTGCTACATACTTAACGAGTGGGCATGTACTATGCGGCCAGCCTCACATTGCTGATATTCACTATTCAGTATTCATTGTGAAATTACTTTTATATGTTGTTAATTTAGAATATTTTATGAATATACCATTTATAGAAGACATTTTTCTCTATTACTATATTATATAGGTAAATTAAATAAAATGTCTACAATATTCTATACTCGAATGTTTTTGTTTCAGTATATAATTTATAGTTCAAGCGGTACTACTGGCACATGGCCTTTATCCAGCAGTCAGTCCTGAAATGTCAAATGTCCCATTAACTTCCCATCAATAGGCCATTAATTGCCAATATATTTATTTCTAGACATTATAGAAAAAATGTAAGCCTATTAACTGGATTTGATGGCTAAGTGACTTTAACCTTGTCGGCCTTCTAATTATATAAGTTAAATGGCCATCATTCCAATTGTAGAGTAATAGTTATTGGGCCTTTTATTCCCCTACACAAAATATTTGTTGGATTGACTTAATGCCACGTAGTTATCGAACAATCCTCGTACAAAATAGCGACTAGATCTGTCGTAATTAAAAAAAAAAACAACAAAAATACGAAAGATTGTCAACCAAAAAAGTGTGGAACATACCACTAAATACGGATACTAATAGATGTTGATACTGATGAGGCAACAAATGGGCAAATATACTAAGTTATGCGGGTATATATAAGGTTATGCAACATCCTCCATATTACCCAGATCTGACAGTGTTTGATTTTCTTATTTTTATGCCGCTTAACGGCCACAAATTTAATTCTATATATTGGCTGATTATTACGAAGTCTAACCATACTGTAAATATGGTATCATCCGTTAGTTGTAGGAAGGCAGAAAAAGTCGTTAACAAAATTACTTTTATATCCCTAATCTGATGACGATGTCCAATCTGTGGTAAATTGGGGCTCACTGGTCAACCGAAACCGTTATTTTTTTATATTCAATAGCTGGGTTTCCTGCTGGATTGAAATGCAGGGAGATTATCTTGGATTATGAGCATCTACCATCTTCATCAACAATGGGCACTTTTCTGACGGTGCCTTGTATTTCGTTGTTTTAAATTATTTTCGCAGCAAAAAAAATGGAAAAATGAAATTTTAAATATATTTTTAACGAAAGAAGAGAAAAAGAAACTATTCAAATCTATGTGGAATTAATTATACTTTGGAAAAAATGACACCCTTATATAATTATTGTTAAATTGTAATTATGTACTATACTTAAAATTTTTGCTTTTGAAAATATTGAACTCCCTCTCAAAAAATATTAATTTTTAGTGAAAACTTTTTTTTTAATAATTAATATTGATTATTTAGCGCAAATTAAAAAACTAAAAATGTTTACTTACTTGTCAATATCCACAATTGAATCGTCAAAAATCACATGTAACACAACACACACAACTCTAAACTTCACCCAAGTTCCGAACTTCACAGCTCTTGGAAAGGAAATGACATTATTTGTTACATGGAAAATCACACTTACGAAGCTCCGCCTCGCACAGTGAATAGGGGCTGTGTTTACACTTCTACCCTCTGTTTTACCCAATCGAAACGCTGAATCAGCATTGACAGCACAGAAATGTTTCCAACCCTTAGCAATTGACCAATGGAACTTTACCTACAACTCAGCGCGTTCCTTTAAAAATGTGAAACATAAATACTGTTTTTGAAGGATTTCTACTTTTTAATTCTAACATCTTTTCAATTGGAAACAATGTTGATTAAAAAAAGAGCCTTTCTTATTCAAGAACAGCGTAAGTCAGGCTGATTTCGAATAGATTCCATTTAAAATGAGAAATGTTTCATCGAGATCGAATTAAATTGTTAAATTTAGGTGTTTTCTATAAAAATATTAAAATCCAAAAACTTTTAAGGGGTAATGAGTGATGTCATCATCATTCGAAGTCTGACAGCAGTATGTGCATATTAATTTGATTTTATGAAGTTAAAAGAATACAGTTAAAGTACTTAGTTCAAGTGAGAACGGACAAATAATAAAAAATATACGAGTACAATTTTTAAACTTAAGGAGAGCCCTTAAGACGAATATTTAAAAACTTGTTTTAACCCATTTATTATTTTATTTTCTTTACATTGAAAACAATTTTAAATACCGTAAAGACGAAAATAAAGAAATACGAGTGGATAAAAGCAGAAACTTCAACAACAGCTATGAACAAAACTAAAAATTAAAGAAGAAAATGCTATGGATAATTTTAAGAGGAAAAACAATCAAGACAATGGGATTATAGACGTCCTAGTACAACGAATAAGAAAAAAATAAGAAATAGTACAAGGAAGAAATTCATCTTTATCCATGCAGCCAAATTAAAATGGAAATGTATGAACAAAAAGATGAAAAATGGAATAACATATGTACATTGGAGACTGTGGGACTACAGGAGAAAGGGGCGCTGCAAATGAGTCTAAGTCAAGCTGGAATAAACTAAAGAGAAGTGGAAGAAAGAAGAGGCGCATAAGTTCAATAATGGATAGATAGAGAGTTTAACAAAAAGAA